GAAGCCAGGCCTGGCCTCCAGAGGTCTCTCCCCAGCTCCTCCAGCAAAGCATGGGGAAGGGTTCTACTACACAGCTCATCAGGGGCTCCAGCCCCAGTGTGTCTTATTGGGATTGGTCACATGAGCATCCCACTGCCTGGCACAGAACAAAATTCCCACTTCTGGAGGCAAAATAGAAGCTACATAAAAATCACATTGTTAGAATAAATAGCTGGGCATAGGAAACCACTCTTCATTCAGAGTGGCAGAAACCATCCTTAAATTCAAGTTCCCAAAGGAAAGTTTTATAAGCAAGTCTCTCAAGGAACGATAGTCATGCCCTTGAGGCCCTTTCTTTTTACACAAATTGTAAACGTTGTTGTGTAATAAGCAGGCAGAAAGAGCAGAAGTCCAACCATTACCCTAAGAGCCTTCTGAGAATCTTCTGCGCTTCATCAGCACCCGTGTAGCACACTGCTTCTCTTTTTCCCCATCCCTGAGGGCCGGCCCTAGGCTAACGAACACCACTTTGCCATTCCAGGGATGGCATCACGAATCGGTTAAATAAACACATACAAAAAAGTCAGTGAATTTGTCACTCGTCTATTCTGCATAAATTCACTGGAAACTATGAAATTTTTTGTTCTCATCATTAAAAGAAATACACCAACCAATCTTTCTGTTTAACTCAACTTTGTTTCTAGCTCTCACACATGGCATCTTCTGCGGTCTGGTAAAGGCCTATGGACCTCTTCTCAGATCAGTTGCTCTAAATGCACAAAATAAAATACAGCACTGCAAAGGAAACAATGTTGAAATCTGGTAATCAAACTATTTGAAATCAATTTACAATATAATAATCTATGTGTTTCTTTATTAACACAGCGTATATCTAGCAGCAAGTCTAACACCTATCATAATTTTAAAATAGTGATACATTAAAAATCATCCTAGGGCCAGGTGTGGTGTCGCACACCTATAATCCCAGCACTCCGGAGGCTGAGGCAGGAGGATCTCTGTGAGTTTGAGACCAGCCTGGGCTACATAGTGAGTTCCAGGTCAGTCTGAACTACCTAGTGAGACCCTATCTCAAAAACCAAAACAACAGCAACAACAACAAAAAATCATCCTAGGATATCTTTAACAAATATAAAATGATCTGAAAACATCTGTTATTTATTTGGGCACTTCTCATAACACTGTAGTTAGTTAAGCACATTCATAATTAAAGCATAGCCAAATTTCCGTAAAAACTTACGTAAAATAAACACTTAATCATTTTTCTTGTTAAAATTTACAGGCCTCAGGTTAAAGAAAAAACACACATTAAGTTTCTGGTACCACGAGATCATGAGTTCACTAAGTCATTCCACTTATGCACCATCTGTTGGACCAGTAGCAGAAAGACCTGTTTTTGCTTTTGAATTTTTAGCACAGAATTTCTTTAGACAAGTCAAGTGAATTAGCAAACTAATATGATTTCACATATAATTCATACTTCTGGCCTCTCTAGGGAAAAAACCATTAAGACTACACAACATTAGGCTGGCATCTCAGCACGGAAATGCACAACCACACTGAGAAGCAGCTGCCCCTTTTGCTACAGTGTGGCACTTGCCAGTTTCCACAGTAACTGTGAGCCTCTCCTCCCTCCTGTACCCTTGCTGCCTGGCTCTTGCAGGCCTCCCTTACGTATGGCATTTTCTGCTCATAATAGCTCTCTGCCTGCAAAGCAAGTAGCAGAGATCTGTTTTCTAATACAGAAGCAGAGCATTCTTTTTCTGGTGTCCCATCTAATTTCAGTCCCCTGTTTTCAGCAGGTGATAAGCTTAAGGCCCACAGACAGCCACCTGTTTCACAAAGGACGTTTTACTGAAACACAACCATGTTCGTGTATTAACATATTATCTAAGGCTGCTCTTATGGGTTGAATTTTGTTCCCCTTCCTACATTCACATGTTAAAGCTCTAATCCTAATGTCATGGAATTTAGAAGATAATTTGGTTTTAGATGAGTTCATAAGAATAGGGCCCTCATGATGGGATTAGTGCCCCCTGTAAGGAAAAGACAGCAGAGAGTTTTCTTTCTCCTCCTGTCTCTATCACATGAAGATGCATTAAGAAGACGGTCATCTGCGAGCCAGGGAGCCCACAGCAAGAAACCAAGTTGTCTGGGAACTTGATCTTGGACTTTCCAGCTTCCAGAACCAAGAGAAATAAACGTCTGGTGTAAACCAGTCACTCTGTTGCATTTTGCCATGGTTAGGGCAGCTGCTTTCACAGTACACTGACAAAACTGAGTAGCTGAAAGTGGCCCACAAAGTCTAAAATACTCACTCTCTGATCCTTGGAAAAAAAATCTGTCAACCTCTGCTCCAGCTGTTAGGTAAAATTGGTAGCTACTGCTCTAGAAATTTTACACAGAAGGGTTTGAAGATGGTTCAAAGGAGTTAGGTATTCATAGCAGGCATCTCATTTTTCCCTAATGGAGATGGATGCTGGTAGCTAAAGAACTATCCTATTCCTTCCTGTGACAGCACTAAAAACTGCACACTCCACAAACCTCTCCAATGGACCACCGTATGGACTGATGTAACCAAAGTTGGAAACTTGGGGTCAAAATCTGCTATCCTTATTTACAGAAACATACCCTTACCCAAGGTCTAGGAGGGTTATGTGATTCCTAGCATATTAAGAACATACTTTTGGTTATACAAATTAATGAAAATGCTCAATGTAATAATGTTCATAATAGTGGCAATGAGAACAAAATTAAATCAGTGCGGAATAAAGTGAACGGGTAAGTGAGAAGCTCTATATAAGATATCTGTGAAATGTGGATACAGAAAAAGAACAGCTACGTTGACAAGCTAAAGCGACATGGTAGAAATTACAAAATTCCAGTTTTAGAATCAGAGATGGAATCAAATCCAGGGAAGATCCACAACGTATTTGTCAACTCTCAGTACCAATCTTAGAACCTCAATCGCCTCATGGGTGAAGTGGAGAACATATCCCTTCTTTGTGGGGGCTGTTGACATTTAAATCACTATTATATACTGCCGAAGTTCTTGTCTATCTACAATAGGCCCTCAAAGGGGTAATTTACATTACTAGTCATTCAAAGACATTTATTCACAGTTTCTCTTTTCCTTTTGTCCTGAGAATAAAGTGACACTGACAGTACACCATTTCCACAAGTCGCCAAATTATTGAAACAGGCCATCAAAATCAACAAGGCTGAGATCATAAAAACGTGGCAAATGCTGTAAAAAGGACCATGTTATGAGGGGAAGAAGTCACCTGATGTAGCTAAGCACAGCGGTACCTGTGGGGACAGGCACATCTCCCATTCATTTCTAGGTCTCACTAAAACAAGACAAAACAAAACAAAAATGGAGACTCTTCCGTCTCCAGCTTGTCTTCCTAGGAGAGGCAGCCACTAGTATGTGCACCCAGCTCTCTTCACTTGTGTGTGCAAGAGAAGAAGAGGCAAGAGAACCTTGTCATGAGCTCATTTTAAATAATCAAAATTTATGTTCTACTGGTGATTTGTTTTAATTATCTTTCTTTAAGACTTCACATCGCAAGCGTGTCAGCTGGCTACTAATTCCTCTCTGGCCCTGAAGAATAACTACCTGTTCTTTTTTCACAGAACCCTTATAAACATAAAACGAGACACAATACAAACAATGGGTTTTGAGGGGTTCCTGACAAGATACGTCCCAAAGAACTAAGCGACAACGGCTAGGGGCTTTGCTAACCTTGCAAAATGGGGAAACTTTTCAAACCTGACAAATTTTAGTACCTAACGGGCTGCCTGTAGGTGAGGAACTTGAGATTTCAGAAAGTGGAACAGAGCCCAAAGGACTCTGAACTCCCTAATGAACAAGGAAGAGAGTTTCTATGTGGCAGCGTCTGCCACATCCATCCCCCGTCTTAATGCTTATTGTTTGTGTTTCACATAATTTTTACACTTGAAGCATCCGAGCACTGGGGCGTTGTGTGTAGTCTGATGTTAATGACTATTTGTTAACAAAAGTATAAACTAGAAATGTTGTTCAAACACAGATCAAATGTTGTAAATACAGCCAACATGAATACTACTCCAGCTGCTCTTGTCTTCTCTTACAACTCTGAGTAGGAATCACATTGACTTAATTATTTCATTTCTATTGCTACAGTATAGACATTAACTTTGCTCTTGGTTTGAATGTTTTCATCCATGTTGACCGCAACAAATGTTTTATACAAAGGGGAGGTGGTGGAAAGAAAGAAAGGTTGTTTCAAAATACTTTACTATAGAGAGGCAATCATTTTACATAAAATTCCATAAGTGTAGTTATCCAAACACATATTTCATTTTTGGCAATAAAAGAAGCCTAGCCAATGCTCAATGACCTATAAATCAGAGCTAGGAGATCTCTTTATGCAAATTAAATTTGTGTCACACTCATCAATAAAAGAGAAAATGGTAATGAAGATTAAATTTGCAGCAACAGTACAAAGTAAAGTATTTCTATACCTATTTGTAGGCTATGTCAGTGTGGCTAATTAATTCTTGAGATAGTGTTCTTTGAAGGAATTAATGAAGAGTAAGTTTTGTGAATTGATTATTAAATGAAAAGAAGGGTTTAAAGAGAGTTTGGAATATAAAGTAGACAACCAGCTTAACCTTACCAGCTTTAAAGAAACACACATATAATAAAGTAAAATATATTGGTATTCATGTTATGACAATATTATAACTATGTCATTGTACGGTTTAAAGTTCATTGTTTCTCCTCTAGTCTGCTTTGCATCTTAAATGACAAAGGCTCAAATATTTACTCACATAATCAGGGGGCCGTTTTTCCTCAAAAGGCAGAATATATATAAAGAGAAGGAATATTTTATCATATATACTGTTGGGCATATAGTGCTGTAAAATAAAAAATCTTTTCCATTTCTCAGCTAATAGAACATATGTGTACATTGACCCTCTAGATATGAATCCATATGAAGCAGATTTGGACCACTTACCCGTTTCCTTAGATTGCATGTCAGAGTGAGGTTCCTTGAGAATGAGTTTGCAAAAGCTGTGTAAAAGTCAAGGACTTTGAGCAAGGCTTCTCGCTTGATGATGTGCAGGTCGCAGTAAGTCAGAGCCCGTACATTGGCACAGGCATGTGCAAGGGTAGTTTCCTTCCAGAAGATGTCTCCAAATACATCACCTTTCCCTGGAAAACAGTTTAGGACCCACCATCAGTATCTCCAACACTTCTCATACTGTTTTCATTCAGTTTCATTGATCTTGTAGGCATAATCTTGACTTGAGAACATGACCCCATGTAATACGCATAACACTTTCACAGAGCAAGCAAATTAGCATTACCCTGAATTTAGTACTTAATGGAAGTCTGGAGCGGCATGAACAAAGATAAATCAACAGAGATACCAAAATTCTCATCTAACAACAACTTTGTTACCTTTTACCATGTTAACTTTTCCTATTCTGACTAAAAGGAGCAAAGATAACTTTTACTTTTACCCTTTCTGCTCTTTCTGTTATAGACGACAATAAAATGCAATATACAAAGATTCGTTTTACAGCCTTTATATATCTAGAACTGATGCAATATATTCAGCAACATTGTTCAGTAACTAAGTATCGGGCTCAAAGCAGAGTAAAACTTGCCTGTCTCAGTCCCCAAAGGGTGCCCTGACCTCTACTTGTCCAGCTTTACAGAGGTGCAGGACTCAGGCCTACACTTAAGGACCTGAGCTGTGTAAAACATGGAGGCACATGAAGAAAGCTGTACTACAGTTAAGTGCAAATGACTTTTTGAAAAATCACACAAATTACATTTTCATTTCAGGGCACCATCCACCTGTGGCCTAAACTCAACCGTTTGTCATTCTGAATCAAGAGTACTTAGTTCCCCAAATAAAGGAAATGAGGTAATGTCAAACGTCAGAGATCCCAAGAGGCTCCTCTGCTGAGGCTTCCCCAGAGCTGCTGGAACTGGAGGGCAAGAAGCTTCTTTCTTTGACTGATGTGTGTGGGAAAGTTTTCAAGTGGAAAATATAGGAGGAAGTTACCCAGGTAGGGAAAAGCTTCCTCAGAACACTCTTTGGATGCTTTATTCTTTCTGCATTCTAGCCAGAGAATGCAAATATCTGTTCACATCATGCAGATTAAAACCAGAATAAGGAAAAGAAGAAAAAAGAGATAATCCTTCTGGACAATCACACCAGCAGAGAGAAAAGGCCCTGTGATGAGAGAAGAGTAAGAGGAAAACAAGGAGCAAGGAAGCCCTCCAGAACCAGGGAGGGATTCAGCCAGCAGTGGCATCAGAGTAGGAGACCATCATGTGTGCCCCGCAGAGGAAGTGGTCAAAACCCTACGTGGTCACCACAGAATAGCCACAATAGATGTTTATTTAATTTTAAGCTGTTCATTTGTTTCTGGACCCTCAAAAACAATTCCTTTTAGCTACTGACTTTGATGAAAGATTCAAGGAACTGTCTGATAGCCATACATTTGTCCAAGGAAGGAACATTAGAGACCAGGGACCCAATTACAGTCTTGAGGGCTCTACAGCACCATGACGACCTAAGGGCACGTCAGCTACAGAAACAAGATAAGTTCAGTGTCGAGTTTCACAAATCTGCATATGGCATTTCCTTTGAACTAGCAATTGCAATTATGGGTATATTTTTAATTATGAAAGTGTCAAATTTCCTTATGAATATACTCACTGAAGTGATATTTGTATAGTCCAATAAAGTACAATAAGAGAAAGGTCAATGAATAAATATATTATAAAATATTAGGCAGCCAGTAAATAGCATAGATTTTTTTAAAGTGACATAGAGAAATACTCATCTAAAATAATAAAAACAGAATATGAAATTATACATACACAGTAATCTCATTTTAGGTATCCCACACTCTCTCAATTTACATAAATACACAAAGAACAGAAGCAAGTGCATTAAAGTGGCAGATTATATTTGTATATGGAACAGTAGATGAGTTCTGTCTTACATTCTTTGTATGTTATTTTATAAACTAAAATTATTCATAGTTTGTCACAGTTGCCAATGCTACAAAATAGCAAGCTTTTAAACAGGCTGTTTTGATCTACCTTTTGTTTTTTCCTCTTTAATATCAGGTACTCTATCTTTTCTTTTTAGACTTTCTTTCTCCTTAATGAGATAGAAAACAGATTACATTTCTTACTGATTCATTTCTACAATACTTTCTCAAATTGCCAATTCTAATAAAATCTCTGATCCATTTATAAACCCTCATTACTTTTCAATTATTTGATTTTCATGCTACACTTTAATTCCTTTCACTCAATAATTTCCCTTCTGGGAATCAATCCAAAGATTAGAACCAACATATGTAAAATTCATGGCAATATTATTAAGTACCCTATATTATAAAAAGAAAAAAGAGGTCCAAAAATAATAGAAATAGCATGCAAAAAATACTTACTTTATTCTGGTAAATGAAAAAAATAACACAAAGAATTTTACTATTATGATACAGCTATGATATAGCTATGATACTGTTATGATGCAGCTATAAAATGAAACCGAAGCACCAAGGCTAACAGAACATCAATATGCTTTTTCTTTTCTTCTGAAGAAATATTTTTCTTGATAAAGCCAAAGTATATTACATGTTATAATTACATCCTCATATAAAGTATTTTATCTTGTTATTAATTTGCAAATTGATAATAAATTGAGAAAAAGGACAGAGATATAAGGCTAGAAAAAAATACATTTAAACAATAGCAACAATAGCTTCAGGTGGTATGTTAACTGATTTTCTCTGAGTACTATTTTGCAAATTTCCCTATTGTAAAACTGCATAAAGTATTTAAAAATAGCAAACTATTTAAAAAGATGTTTCCTTACATTTTAATAGCATTGAAATCATAAAAGATGTACATAGGTACATGGAATACTATATAAATATTCACTGGTTGCTAAATAAATGTAATTTCCTCCTACCAGTATAGAACAGTGGTAGCATACTTAAGGCACATGCACTGCAGCAGGCTGTTATTACTGAAAGCTCTGAAAGCTTTGCCCCTATAGACCATTTTTAATTGTGGAGGCATTTGAATATGCATTATATATTTTATTTTGCCTAGCTAATGAAATTAAAGTTCTAATCCCATTTCTACCCAAAAGTTTAAGACATTAAATTATTTAGCTTTTTGTTATTATGAGGAAATAAATAAATACCTGATATGTAAAGAATACTAAGAAACTAGAATATTAACTCATAATAAACTTTATCCCCCAAAATTTAACAAAGTATTGCAAAATCAACAAATGTGGCTAATTTTATTCCCAATATCAGAATTTACCTTAATAATAAGCAATAATAATTCTATGCCATGGCATAGAATTTCCAATTAGGATCTGCAATGTATAAACTGGATATGAATCTAATCAGTTATTTCAAAATATGTTTGTTTTATTCAGATTTCTATGTCACCTAATGGGTATTCAGTTCACAACAAGTTTTACGGCACTGCTAGGAAGACAGACATAAATCAATTAATGATTTTACCAAATGCAGCAAAGCTGGCTGATGCCTTCTTCAGGACTTATCATGGACATGGATAATAAGCAGAAACCCCAGGGTGTGGAGGCGTGGGATTACACACAGACATCCAATAAAGAAGCCCCCTTTCCTTCACTGCAAAGATTTTATGAACTTTAAGGATTTGGAACTCTATTCATTTTCATGACTATAGAATATTTGATGCTGGTTTTTAGGTCAGCTCCTGCCGGGTGCACATAATCTCAGCTATAATCATTTTAGAGCTTGAGTGAACTAACCTCCCTCAAAGCCCTAAAATAGGAGAAAAACTCGCACCAAACATGAAAGTTGTTGTTTGGCCTATTTATATTTTCTCAGTTCTTTGCATCAAGTCTTATGAAGTATTTCACTGCTAAACCACAAGAAACAGGATTGTAAAGTAGAACTTAATGTAAAAGATTCATATAGCAAGAAACTGGAAAATTTAAAGGCAAAATACATATAGCTACAATGTAATTAAAGGAGTCATGAAAACAATGGTATATTTGTGGATTAAGATCTACAGTACTGATTTCAAAACCATTTGTCTTATTGTGAGACATCATTAGTTAAGTAAATGATATGACTAAGATGAATGCATAAAATTATCAAGTTACTCATCAGTGAGTATAGCTAATTAATACATCTAACAGATGCCTAATAAAGTATCATTTGATTTGATTTTACTGATTTTCTGTGTTGGGGGGTATAGTAATGGCTATATTTGATGATTCTTCTGGACAATGTACTTAATTCATATATAATGTTCCTCTTTAAAAATGTGAATTTTATTGTGTGTATCTCAGGTTTACATATGATGTTATAGGGTACATACAAATTGTAAAACACATACTCCAAACCCACACTTTTTACTCTTTCATTCATTACAGATACTTAAGTTTGTTTCCTTGTCAAGGATGTTGTGAAAAAGGCTGAAACGGACATGAAACTGCAGACAGCTCTGCAAGACGGTGCTTTCATGTCTTTTGGGTCTATATCAAAAAGTGATTGCTGGTCACACAGCATTTCTATTTTTAATATTTTTGGAAAATCTGTGCTGTTTTCCACAATGGCTGTACCACGCTACATGTCCCTGAACAACATAATGGGGTTCCCTTTTAGTCACATCCTTGCTAATGTTTGCTATCTTTTGAATTTTTTCTAGCCATCCTTACAGGTCTAGAATAATATTTTATATTGTTTTTGTTGCCCATTTCCCTTATAATGATGTTGAGAAACTTTCCATGTGGATACGAGACCATGTTATACCATGCTGCTAAAAAACATAATTTAATAGGTTATTTAGGTATTTGTTGTTTTATTGAATTTAGGAGTTCTTTATAAATTTTACCTATGAATCTCTTACTAGATATGCAGTTCACCAACACCTTTTTCCAGTTCATAGGCTGCCTTTTCATTGTTTGGACTGTTTTCGTTGACATACAGAAAGGTTTCACAGTGATGCAGTCCCATTCATTTATTTCGCTCTCATAGCTTGCGTGTTCAGTGTGATATACACAAAATTACTGCCGAGAGAAATGTTAAGCTTTTTCAATGTTCAGAAATGTAATGGCTTCAGGGCTTGCATTTATGTCTCCTATGCATTTTACTTGACTTTTGTATATAGTG